CAAGAAGCCATCTTTCAAAAGGTTTTCGGAATTGAAACCTGTATTTTATTTTATCAATTATTCAATTATTTAATAGTATATGTATTAATACGGTTGTAAGAAGCGTTCATTTACACTAGAAATGTTTACTTACATAAAACATCAATCGCTAATTTCATTTATAATGAATGCAAATATTGAGGCAACTGAAATTTATATAAACACAAACGGTTTTATTATGACGACCGTGAGAATGAAATACATATCTGCACGTGTTCTAATCAAGTCTTTATGAAACACCATTGTTCTAACAAAGCATTCTGTGAGTAGAAGAGATATTACTCTATAAATTTATTATTATTCAGAAATATGACTTTCTCACAAATGAAAACCAAAATGTACTCAAAATTCCCTGGACCTCACCAAAGTTAACGTATACCTTGTTGATGGAGCTTTGTTCTCTGAGCTGGATGGTTTGGTCGTGGAGCTTTCATCGTTCTTCTGAACGACATCATCACCACAAACTTCAGATAGAAGTGAAGTGTTCGAATTTCTCCATATGCGTTTCACAGCTTGTTCTATACACATCGATGTTGATTGGTTCTTATTGACCTTAAATTTGTCGTTGTTTACTTCTTTGTTTTGGTTGTGTCTCCCATCGGTTTGATTTTTGTTCCTATATTTGTGTATGATCTATCTGATTGGCTGGTAAATTGGATTGATTTCAATACGTTTGTTGATTGCTGATTGACCTGAGTGCCAGGCTTCTAAAAATTCTCTGGTGTTTTTGGAGTTTCCTCTGTGCAAGATTTCCACATTTTTCCAATCGAATGAGTGTCCGCAGTTGTCCACGTGCATTGATATAATTGAGGAGATATCATGGCGTTTGACTACTAATTGATGTTCATATAGGCGAAGGTGAAGGGGGCGTCCGCTTTGTCCGATGTAGTGTTTTTCGCAGTTGGCACAATTTATTTTGTAGATGATGTTTGATTTGTTTTCCTTTGTTATTTCATCCTATGGTTTGCATAGGATTGACCAAACCATCCGGCTCAGAGAACAAAACTCCATTAAAATCATCCACTTGAGGTACAAATCTTCTCCACCATTTCATTAATGTATACCATTAGTTACAATAACATAAGTATGCATTCATTGTTCTAGTAGACCTATCACATTGAACACTTTCACTCCATATAATTCATGTTTAGATCTACATTTGATTACTGTTCAGGAAATCATTTGGATGGATCATAAAAGTAATGCTAAATAATACACTATTTGGATATCAACTAATCATGAATAAACATACATTGATTAAAAATCAAAATTGGTAGGTTTTTTATTACCAAATTATCTGAGTTCTCTTATGGATTAAATGTTACCAAGATTTTATAAAAATTCAGTTATACTGTTGTTAATTAGTTGATCAATATATTTGTTGAAAATTATATTGTATTTATTATCACATTATTTCTTTCAGAGAATTTTTCAACGTGTATATTGATCTTTGTCATGACCATGTTATAATGAAAAGAAGTAATAAATCTTTCAGTTGTTCAAACAAGCCATTTTATAAATGATATACTTTTTATTTGTTCTCGTTTGGCGTATACTGAAAATAAATGAGATCACTCTGTGAGTATAAGAGTAGGTTCATCATCCTGAGCTTTTGTTTTTGACATATTGCAAACATTACATACATTTTAAGCAGAGATCGATAGTGCCTAGCAGTGGACTCCACGATGCACGCCACTTCTTCTTATTTGGGATTCACGAGATGGATGTACATGCATCCAGCAGTTAATGTACACTCTGACACTCAAACTTAGTACCGTCTGCTTGAGACACCACTGCGTTATCCATTTAGCTACTGATCCATGATAGCCATTAGCATATGCAATCAGGTGAAGTAATGGTTGTTTGAATCAACCCAATTAATATTTATGACTGTAATTGATTACTCTCATATTGTCATATGTGTTTACTGTTCATATCCTCGATATTGTCTTAAATTAAAAACATTCTAAGCACTCATTCATTACCAAGTTTTTTAGTTAATCCGATCATATCAGACTACATTAGGAACAAATTTCAAATATACTGCATAATCGTACCAAAAGAATAATGAAGGTAATTATACTGCAAATTAAAGTGTTATTCCCGTAGGAAAAATTAAAATTTATAAGATCTGCATTTATAACAAACTAATAACATATTTGTGCCTTGACTGTCGGTATCGGTGTTTAAAAAATCGTCAGTGAATATATCAGGTAGGCAACTGTTCCCTGACTATGACTACATAAACAGGTTGAGTGTCATTTTGCCTACACTGGATAGATAATGTCTAAGCTTCGCTTTTAAAGATAAAAATGACATTTGATCCCTTGTGACAATTTAAAATCTTCATAAGCATAAAATAGTTTAGAGACTACCAAATTTTTAACAAGAATATTAATTTCCTTATGCAGTACAAAGATAAAATACAACAAACAAAGTGATTTGTCTTTTTCAGTGACGTTATTGGAGACCTCACTTTATTAAACGTTTTGCATCACTGAGTAAATTACTGAAGTAAAACTACCTTTTGTACAGCATACTTTTCTGGCTGTTACTATTCTTAAGTGTTTAATATTGACAACAGTTACTTAATACACTCAATTTAAGTATGAACTTATCGACTTTGAATTTTGTCTCACGTTATGGACAATCGTCACATTCAGGTTTATTGTAACGTGTCGGTGGTACTGAGTTAATTCTACTGATCACCAACTGTAAAATGCCTCTCCAGATAAAGTCTTGTTTGAAAATATGAAAAAACAAGCTGAAATGTTAATCCTCTGGTAAGAAATAGTGGCCAGTAAAACGGTATTATATTTCAATGGGGTTGTTATACTATCATACTATTTAGTTGAGTTGCATATGTCACTAACCAAGTAGACAGCTGTTTAAATGGCATTGTTTGATCGTTTTGTTATTACAGGAATTGGCAGAAACTGAAGGTTAGACTATGAAATTCTGACTTCGTCAAATGAAGATAAAGGGTCTAGGTCCCATATTATAATGAGTTGAAGATTAAATTGGCAGATTAAGTGATTAGAATTTAGAGAATTAGCCGCGTAAAACAAGGATTGTATTCATATCTAACAGCAGAATATAAGATTCTGAAGTGGAATATGGTAAGTGGACCAAAATACAAGAGAGAACTGTGATTTTATAAATGTTTATTTCCCTGTTCTGGATGATTTGATTATGTAAAATATAACAGTGGGATGGCTACCAAAAATGTTAACTGAGATTAAAAAGTGAAGGGAACTAAAATCTATGTCTATTGTTAAGTAGTAACTTGCTTGTTACAATGTTTATGAAACCTTAATTATAAAGTTGCCTATGGCAATAACTTCAATACATACTTCTTTCAAATGTTATCCGTTTTTGTTTCACTGTTATTTTACGGAATCGCCAAGTGTTAAAGATTTTACTAGATATTCATATGTTTTTTACTATGCAAATTTAATCATGAAATCTGTCTAAATAATTCAAATATAATTCAGACATATTTCTCAAGTTATAGAATTTGGTTCCATAAACATATTGAACAAAGATTGTATTTTAACTGTATTTAAATCACTAATAGTTAAGTACTAGTAAACATTTGTAGATATAGATGTTTCGAGTGGGTCAGATTACAAGACAGTAGTTCATTTAATCACGTTAGTTTATTTGAAAAATATTTTAAAAGTTGAAAATCTCAAAAAGATGTCTATTCTGTGCATAAAAACAGTCAGAAAATTTACATAACTATATGATTAGTCAGAGAAAATCAGAAATATCAATGTACTTGCTTTATGTTAAGGTAGTGGTTAGAGGTAATCAAAAAGAAACCGTGGACTTAGATTTCGTGCTACTTATCACTCGTCAGCAAAGTGTACTTGTAATCTTGTGAGAACTGATGCTTCCTGATGGATTCGATACAGTGTCACAGCTTCACAGTCTTAGACGTTGCCACTGAGCTATCCGGGCACTGACCATTCTTCTGTAAGACTCTGTGTTGACATAAACGTGATCATTAAAAACGTATGAATTAACTACCGGTTTATTAATCTTTTATTAAATATCAATCAAAATATTCAAGATGTAACAACACATCTATAGATTATAGCTTGACATAATAATGATTGTTTTTCTATTCCATTGAGATAAATCTAACTTGTTTTAACCTCCAATGTAAAATATTATACAGAAATTAAAATATTTTACTTGAAAGAAAAATTTCCCTTGAAGATTCTTATTTGATTTTGCCAAAGCAACAACGAAAACGTAAATTAAATAATCATTCAAAATCATGAAAAATATTTTTGAATATTTTTTAATTAACATTAAAAACATAAGTTTTTTTATTTATTGAAAAACATAATAATAATGAAAAATTAAGTATGCAAAAACCTAATTAAACTGTGAAAAATAAACATTTACCCTCCAAAAAACTTTCCATTCATACCATTTGTCACATATATTTGTATATATTTTTTGAAAAGTTTGCCCGTTTGTTTTTCTTGTTTTGTTTTTTACTATTAAAGTATTGAGTCAATTTTTGTTTTCTTTAAAAAATTTTTTTCTTAAAATAATATTATTTCTTAACTTATTTTTAATAAATAAACAAAATAAATAAAGTAAATAAATCGACAATGAAAAAATGTTCACCGATTTTGTACATTTATTTATAAACCAAACAATATGATTGGCTAATTTATCTGAATATTTCATTGGTTAAAAATATAAGTTAATGATATTTAAATTTTAAAAAAAACGAAAAAATTTATTTTCAATGTTATTCTATATATTTATATAGTACAATGATCATTTTAAGCAATAATTTATTTATTATCTTTTTTGTTAGATACAATTCTATGAAAATGCATGAAAAAAGATAGAAAAGAAGAGAAAACTAATAAACAAATAAACAAACAAATCAACTTTTACTAAAACAAGATGTAATTCTATGTTTTAGTGTATATAGTATGTTGTTGATAATCAATTTCATTTGGAATAATTTAATTATTAAAATACAAATTATTTTATTGATCGTTTTTGTAAATCTATTATTATTTACTTCAAATAGAATTGAAATTTCACCTGAAATGTTTAATTTATTTGAATCAAATTTATTTAAAAAGAATTTGCCTTATTATACTACTGGATCATATTTAAAAAATATTCAAAAACAAAGAGTGGAATTAATACCAATAAAATCATCTCCTGAACATGGTAAGTAATTTCATTGCTGTGTTTTTTAGTTTTAATCAAAATTCAAAAATTCTAGTAGTTTTTTTGTGTTGAAGTTGTGGAAATAGTTATATCGCATTGAAATCAAGAACCAATATGAATTAGACAACCGTTAAAAATCTATGACACTAGATGATCACTTTTTATTTTAACATAGTACACCTCAGCAAGGCTCATTCACGACTCTAACATCACGAATCAGACCTAAAACCTATGGTTTCAGCAGTGAAAGCTTAACTTCTGGATTATTGATATACATCGAGAATCTTTTGAAGTTAGATATGTACACCACTGTATTCCTCATCAGCCGTCTAGAAGTTAGAGGGTTTTGAGTTTAATTCTCCATGGTGAGGTCATGGACATGCACTGTGGATGAGTCCTATCAAAGATGAAGTCAGCTGTTCAGTGCGTTCAGACTATCAATGGTTATCCAACTTAGGTCAGTTTGTGACCTCAAGACACATAGTGTAACAGATCCTGTTGATAGTGTTACATCAGGAAGAAATGTAAAAGAATTTGGTTTGGAATATTTTTTATACCGAACATAGGATGTACAAACTTCATCAGAACTAGGTGAGCACATGTTTTTAACTAATGCAAAAGCGACTGACTGTTAATAGGAGTAACTACAGTTGTCCTATCGATGGATATCAGTAGGTATTTTATTATTATTCTAAACATTATGCTCTAAAAACAAACAGAGACGAAATTACTGAAACATTTCTCTCTTAGTATAAATTATAGATCTACAACCTCGATGACAACATGACCTATTCTTATCTTTATTTGGCTACTGTAAACGTAAGTATAAAATAAAACTTGTTTCTTTTAATTACCATGGGAAACTAGTCTGGAATTAAACAAAAAACTGAACCATCGAGTATCAATTTTATAGCAACCAAAATGATCTTGTTTGAATAAAAGCATTTTGTTACTAGAGCAAATAGCTTTTTTTGTCCAATAATGTAGTTGTGAAATTTAGGGACGGATTTTAAAGATTGAAACGCATCACTTATTCAACTTTTAATCGTAAATGTTTTTTCTTCATTTTTTATGAGTGAAAATAAAAGTTGCTATCAAAAAAGTAATAACGCTATTACTGTCTGCAAATTATTTTTGAATCATGTGAGGAAGTAAAAAGTTATGGTTGTATAAATTAATGATTTAAAATGTATGATAATGAAGTTTACATCACGAAGTAATTTTAGTTAGACAACTATTAAAAAAACATTGACGTAAAACAGCTGTTTCATTCTAGTATGAGACTGCTTGATGGTATTGAGCAACCACGAGTCCATTTGGAATCAAACGCATTACCTTCATGTCTTGGGTTAATCATTTAATCTGAAAAAAATCATTTATTTGCTTAATCTGTATTTCATTTTTGATTACATTTGACTATCGTGTGGCGTAAATATCATTAATTAGTCCCTCCTCAGTGCTTCTATAATTGTAATGCGGTCGATATACTAAATGAACAGAAATTTGTATTTCAGTAGACTGTTTAGTAGTAAACAGCATCAAATTGGCTTCTAAATAATATCATATTGTAGTAAAAACTGTTTTAATAATTCTTTAGTGAAAATCTTGAAGTTTTATCAAAAATTGTTGTAGAGTATAGTTGTTTAGCTAACTGAGAACGTGAAACAGCTCTACCTGGTTTCAGAAGGTAATGATGGTACTGCTTCCTCTAAATTTCAGCAGTATTTTAGCTAACATCATTCAGTAGAGAAAATCAAATTTTAAATCCATATCTTATTACTAAATCAATTAATCGAGTAATTTTAATTCAATAAAACATTTTCGTTTATTGGCGTCGAGTGTCTGTCTGCAAAATACGAATAAATCAAAATTGTTTATCATAAAATGCGATTTTGAAAATTTTAATCTAACGAAATAAGACTGATGTAAATGTTTAGGAAACGAGCTCAAATCATGTTAACTTACTATATCCATGTTTCTTTCAGTTCTAGTTTTATGTGTGATCAGAGTAACTACCCCGGTAACTCTTTTCGACTTGTCTAAATAGTTCATCTTGGCATAGTCTTATAAAATTGTGTTGTTATTTAAAAAAATTAGAACTTATATTTAAGCATCTGAAAATGAAAGCCATAACTAATTTAAGTAATATAATAGTCTCGGTAGGTTACTATAAAACAGGATGTTATGTTTAAGGCCAATAATGCTATTTGGTTAATTGGTATTTAATTAAACCCCATTGAGGTATCGTACATAAATTAAAATTCAATAGAGCTTTCATGATGATTGTGTTTAATGTTAAGTTTAAAATGAACTCATAAAAAAGCAACACTGTCATCACAAAATAAAAATGAGCATAATTACTTCTGAATACAGGCAAATTCGCGAATTTCTTTTGACAATATAATATACAAAATACTTGCAGCAAACACAGAGTGTAATTTTATAGTTAATTGATCGCTGGGTAGTGATCAATGTCATATGTGACAGGTCCTTCTTAGTGCAGATCGAATTCTATCGACCAATTTGAAATGTAGCCACTAGTCTAGATGACTCGACATTGCGTGCACTACATTGAGATGAGATTGTAGTTGGAGGTAGTTGACAGGAAATACTGGACCTAGGTTTCGTGATATTCGGCAGTAATGGTGTTTAAAACAAAAGAATAATGTAGTGACACGATTTGTCAATGAAGCTTCCTAATCACAATTAGTAATCATACTTCATGTTATTCAAAGTAAGTAAGGGTAAGTTAAATGCTAGTGGGTGAGTATTAAGACAATTCCACTACCTTAATCTACACCCGTTCAAGTTTGTTGTTATGAAAAGTGTGTTTATATATCACTTACGATTTTCTACTTAATCTTAACCGACCAAAATTGGGTGACTAAATTAAGTAGAAAATCATCTTAATTGAACATGTATTGTAGTTCAGTCTTGACTTTAGGATGTATTTCATCAGATCAGTAATAACTATTAAATAAATTCATTCTATTTCAGGATCCATTTTCGCTAAATAAAATGTTTAATAACATTACGATACCTCTTCAGTATTTATCTAGTTTAATGTATAATTATATGAACATGAATGAAATTGATATATTCAGGTTACATTATCAAATTACCAAAGCAGCGAAAACCGGATCATATCGATAAACAAACATCACTACTTTGATTAAAAATAACTTAAAACCTAACGGTTACTTGTTTTCTTTGTTCAAAAACAGAATATGGTAGATAACAATTCAACCAATTTATTTGTAAAAGGTTGACTAACCAGATATGTGATCCTTCGTCAACTATAAGAACTGACATTCTACAATTTCTTAACGGTGATTTCATCAAAACATTTTAATGCAGTAACTGTCTAAACTTATTTAACCAACATTTTTCGCCAAAAGGCAACATTTTACTTCATGAATTTTTCTAAGATATCCTCAAGAGGTTTGTATGTTCATATTCTTCCTAAACCATATATATATATATATATATATATATATATATATATATATATATATATATATATATATATATATATATATATATATATATATATATATATATATATATATATATATATATATATATATATATAAAACACTGGGTAATAAATAATTGTCCTTAAATCAAGAGTAGCATTAAAGACTTTTCAAATCAGTGTCATAAAGAATATTAGGAAAATCAAATAAAAAAGGAAGTGACTGTGATTATTCTTATTTAATATTCTGTAGTGTTTGTATCAGTAGTTTTCGTTGATCATTACATTCTAATTCTTCAATTATCTATGTTGAATTAACTGCTTTTTATGATTATATACTTATTTATCAATTTCATTATTTTATTTTCATGCTGAAGAAAATGAATTCGGATATTGACATCAGTATTTATAGACACATTTACTAATTGAAATAGATTTATACCCATGTTTACAATTTCTTCGGCCTAATCAAAAATGTAACTGTCTAGAATTCTCAAGATTTAGCATAGATAATTTCCTTTTGTTTCTTGTTTTGTTTTTTTTATAGTAAATCTATCTTCACCGAACAATTCGCTTACTACTTGATTGAAGTTAATAGTGTATTAATAAAAATAATAATAGTTTATCTTTTCTGAAATGAATGTAAATCATTCACATTATAATGTTGAAAAAGTAACCTTATAAACTTCAATAATGACATTGAAGTTTTGTAAAGAAATGATTAAAATAGTCTATAGAATGACAATGTATTACAATATTTATTAAAGTATATAATCAATGTATCCTATTTAAAGTGATATGATAAGGAGAATACATAGTTGTTATTCAAGATTAATTAATTGTGGGATATGAAAATAGTTTGACATCGGCTAACACAATTAAGATAAACTGAAATAAAATATTGATAAATTTTATGTTGACATTATTGTTAATCATAAATTCTACCTTTCCGTTTGTTTGTTTTTGTTGGGTTTTTTTTTCAAAAAAAAAATTAAAAAACAGGAGTTTCCAAGTGAATACAATATTGTTATTTTGATATATGATAATTAATTTACTTCTTATTTTGATATTCATGTCAGTAACAAACAAAAACATACATTGTAAAGAATTAATAATTAAACATCAGTCTCTTAATCAAATACAAGTAAAGAATCTAAATATCGAAATCATAAAACTCAATGAAAATAATATGAAATTCATTAGTAGTTTGTTTGCAAAAAAAAGAAAATACCTGCTTTATGATATGTACTATGCCCGGTCAAAATGTGGTATCGGTTGCTATGTCAAGCCCACACAGCTTATTTCAGCTTCCGGACAGATCAGTTTATTCGTTCTCCTTGAGTCACTTTTCTGCTTGTTAATTATTCACCCCGCCTTGCTCTACCTCGGCTACAAATATTGAGTAACGCTTAATTAAAGTGCGTTGACTCACCCGCTTTCTCCATTAAGCGTCATTTTGTTTTGCTTCGCTTTCCGATCAACGATTGTACGAAATATGGGTATTCAAAAATCCATTCTCTTATTC